GAGGGGGCTGATGGGGGAGGGGGTTAATGAGGAGGGGGTTAATGGGGGAGAGGGTTGATCGGGGAGGAGGGGGGGGTGTCTTTCCAGGGAAGCATCTGTGCCCCCCCCACCCCGCGTTGCCTCGAGGGGGCCGTGGGGACACGGGGGGGCGTCGGGGGGGGGGGGACGAGACGCTCTTTGTGCCGTGCCCCCCTCCCCCCCCCAGCGCTCCCGACGGGGCGGGAAAAGGGAGGGGGGGGCAGGAACGGGCCCTTCTCGTCCAATGAGGGGCCCGGGGGGAGGGGCCCGGGGGGGGCGGGGGGGGCGGGGGGGGCGGGGCCGCCGCGGATTTTCTTAATGGAGCGGCGGCGGCGGGGCCTCGGCGCATGCGCGCGGGGCGCCGATATGTTGGGGGGGTCGCGGCGCGGAGCTTCCCCCGACGGCCGCCGAGGAAGAGGAGGACGAGGAGGAAGAGCCGGCGGAGAGAGGAGAAGAGGAGGAGGAGGAAAAAGAGGAGGAGGAGGAGGAGGAGGCGACGGCGGGAGCAGCGCGGCATGACATGACGGCGCCGCTCGGGCTCCCCCCGCGCTGGCCCGACGGCCTCGCCTGCCGCTGCGAGGACGCCCCGCGGGAGAAGAACCGCATGGAAGGGCTGGGGCACTGCCGGGAGATGATGCCCCACGCGGGGCTCGCCGTGCCCACCGCCCCGCCGCCGCCGCCGCCGCCGCCGCCGCCGCCGCAGGGAGCCGCGTACGCGGAGCTGGCGGCCGCCGAGCCCCCCCGGCAGTGCCCGTCGGGGGCGGCTTCCAGCGCGGCGCTGGGCTACGGTTACCCCTTCGGGGGGGGCTACTACGGCTGCAGGTTGTCCCACTCCCACGGAGTCAACTTGCAGCAGAAACCCTGCGCTTACCACCCCGGCGAGAAGTACCCCGAGGCCGGCGGGCCCCTGCCCGGCGAGGAGCTGCCGTCGAGGGCCAAGGAATTCGCCTTTTATCCCGGTTTTCCCGGCTCCTACCAGGCGGTCCCTGGCTATTTGGACGTGTCGGTGGTGCCGGGGCTCGGGGGTCACCCGGAACCGAGACACGACGCTTTGCTTCCCATGGAAGGTTACCAGCACTGGGCTCTTTCTAATGGCTGGGATGGGCAAGTGTACTGCTCCAAAGAGCAATCGCAGTCCGCACACCTCTGGAAATCACCTTTCCCAGGTAGGCTCCTCCGGGAAGTGGCGTGCTCGCCCGTTCCCGACCGCCGGCTCCCCCGCGGAGGGGTGGATGTGAGTGCGAGTGGATGAGTGTGCCCGTATATCTCTATATACGTACACGGATAGATCCGTGTGTGCCTGTATATGTAATTAAAGGGAAAGAAATGGCTCTGGAATGCCTCCTGTGCCGGGCAATGTGTATGAACATGTATGGAAAGAAGGTGAAGCAATCATTTCTGAATCAAAATACACGCCGTGAGCTTGCTTGGAAAGTAACTTCGCCGTTTAATTCCTTAATTCTTCCCTTTCTTCTTCTCCTCCCTCCTCTTGCCTCACCTAAGGAGAGTCTCTCGGTGCCTTCTCTTCATCTTTCCCTCTGCTCGCCGCACCTCCATATGCAGAAAGCTTAAAAAGGGGAAAATAATAATAATAATAATAATAATAATAATAATAATAATAATAAACCCATCTCGAATGGTTCGGTCGAGTGAGAATTGTCGGGGGCTGGGACAGTAAATCATATCGCAATTACACACAATTATAGGAATAGGTGTCAAGTGACAAATGAATCTGTTTGGAGAGAAGGAGGGAGGCAGAGGGGTGGGGGACCGGCGGGGCATCCTGCCCGCCTGACAGCCCGCGGGCGGCCGGGAAGGCAAAAACCTCTCCTTGGAGCATCTTTTAACCCAGTAAATCCCTCGCTCCCTTCCCCTCCCGGTCCCCCCGGGCTCGGCGGCAGCGGGGGGAGGAAGAGGGGGGTGGTGGGCGCTGCCTCCCGGTGCCTCTGCCCAGGCTCCTTCCAGTCCCCCCAGTCCCAGCGCTGGGTGGGGAGGGACGCGGAGGGGTGTGAGTGGAATAACCGCAACAAAGAGGGGGACACGACCCCCCATCCTCCCGGGGGGAGAGAAGGGACGGGTCGCCTTAGTTTTGGTGGGGGGCGATGCGTGAGGACACCGCCTTATTTATCTTCATGGGGACAAAGAGAGGAGGAGGATGAGCTTTCCCGGGCGCTTTTTGGGGACACGGAGCTGGGGAGAGAATTTGACAATGCATCGTCGGCTGCATGATGGGGGGGAGGAAGGTTTTGGGGGGGGGGGGTGTCCTCGGGTTGACGCTGCGTTTGGGGGAGCTGCCACCCCAAGCGCTTTATCCCCACATCGCCTGCGTCTCTGGTGAACCCCCCTAAAGGAGAATCCTGCCTCCCCCCAATGAGCCGAACGCCCCCAAAGCTCCCCAATTAGCGCCCTGTCAGCCATAATTGGGGCTGCGCTGCCTGCGAGCAGAGCTCGCCTCCATCTTCCTGCTCCTGCCGGGCGGGTCACACCTTTGCGGCGCGGAGCTTCCATGCCCGGGTCACCCCCCCCAAACGCTGCCAGGGGGGCTGGGAAGGGGCAGAGGCTGCCAGAAAGCTTGGGGGGCAGCTGTGCCCCCCTCCCAGGAGCGGCAGAGCGGCGGTGAAGGTGCTCCCCGAGCCCCCGCTGAAGGCGTTCCCCGCAGCCCCACCGAGCGCGGAGCATCTCCCCTTCCCCATCCCCCGCCAGAGAGGCTGGAGGGAAGGAGGCGCGGGGATTATTGGGATTATTTTTGCTGGGTTTGCCCCTTCCGAGGGGCTTTCTGGGCTGCACTGGGCGGGTGAGGGGCTCGGGGGGTGGGGGAGGCACTTGTTTCCGCACCAGGCTCGGTGTTGGGGCTGCTCATCTGCGGGGACCCCGGAGGTTTTAGGCTGGGGGGGGAAAGAAGGGGGAAGAGAGGAGAAAAAGGAAGAAGGAGATAGGGGAGAAGCTCTAGGTCTTATCGAAATTCTGTCGGTTTGGAAGGTCCCTTTGATTGCCCGCACAATCTCAGCCTTCGGGTTCTCTTGATGCTCCCTGTTTACCAGCGTGAGAGTGTAGCCAAGAAAACCAGGCTTTCACCCCGTGAATTATTACTGTTACGTGATTATTCCCATTATTCTGGTGTTATCCACCTTTGCTGGATGCGTTTTCTGCCTGTCCTGTCTCTTTTTCCCCTGCTTTCTCCCCCTTCCTCTTCGCCCGCATTCCTCCACACTTCATCCTCCTTTCCCCCTTTCTTTCTCTCCCCGACTCTCAGAAATTCTCCCCCCAACGCCCCGGGATGTGGTTACCCCCTTTCTTCCCCTCTTCTTTATTTTTATTTATTTTATTTTATTTTTTTTTTAAATCCAGACGTGGTCCCCTTACAACCCGAAGTCAGCAGCTATAGGAGGGGACGGAAAAAAAGGGTCCCTTACACCAAAATCCAGCTGAAGGAGCTGGAAAAGGAGTACGCGGCCAGCAAATTCATCACCAAAGAGAAGAGGAGGAGGATTTCG